CTATCTTCCCACACTTAGAAATAGTAACATTTAGTAAATGTTTTACTTTTGAAGTATGATGAGGTAAAAATATACTATTTTATCAATTTTTTTTAAAAAAATGTTACTCCATCAATTTTTTTCATTTACAATGCTAATTTTTCAATTTATCCTAAACATGGTGCCTAAATAAGATAATAAATAAAATAAAATAAAGGATTGATGGAATATAGTTTATATTGCCTTAAAAATTAAATGGTATGGGTGTTTTTCTGTAGTTCAATTTATAGTAAAATGTATCTTGAGCTACAATAAAATTATTTTTATGCCTTTTGATCAAAAAACATTAAGTCTCTTGGTATTGATATTTTTTTTTTACTGTAAAAATATTATTTTTGTCCTAAAATCAACAAAATATATAGCTTTTAACGAAGGGTTTTCTTAATTTTGTATCAACTTCTTAACAGTAAAAATTATTATGTTACCAGATTTTCAAAAAATTTACTACCCGCAGGGGAATACAGTTAAATTGCTAGTGCTACTTCTAAATCTATAGCATATACTCGCGAGGCTGCGGGGTTCAAACATCCTTCGACACACATGATTCCTGTCTCCTTTGACCAACTTTGTATTCCTTCGGAGCACTTTTTAATTGAGGATTAGTTAGATGCGTGTCCTTGGTGCCCTTCTAACGCAATGCAATTCTCATCTTCTTATCCCTTTGATGATCTATATTAATTTTGCTCCTAGAAGCAATCCCAGAAGTTGGTCCAAGTCCTCGGACCTTCCAACCATATGACAACAAACTTGAGCATTTTTTAGCATATTGCTAACATATTTTAGATAGAGATAAGAGAAGACATATACGAGACATAGATTGTTGTGGAGTCCTTGGACTCCTAATGCGAAACCTTAATCTTCGAAGTAAAGAGATAAAGTTGAAGTCACTATCGGCATCATGTCCCTAATCCGAGACACATCCACTTCGTTAACCTTACAAGTATATATAGCTGTTGGGATGTCCTCTGTAGTAATGTTGGAAAAAAGGCAGCAGCAAGTAGTTCATGATTTCCCAGAGCAAGCCAATCGAAACTATGAGAAAGAGACCCACTACTCAATCATCGCCATCCAAGGAGGAGAAGCAACGGTTCAGCAACTCGATCAGAGCTCTACGTCCCAGGGTTTATATCACCGATACGTCAAAATTCAAGACACTCGTTCAAGAACTAACTGGTAATGGAAAAGGCAGCAGCAGCTGCATCTCTGCCCCGCCTGAAGGTAGATCACCACAAGACATCCAAAAAGCCCCGGTCATCGGCATTGAAGATCAAGAACACGATCACCGTGAAATTAGTTTGGAGACAATATCGGTTGCCGGATATGTTCATAACTCGTTTGATTTATGCAAAGTATTCCAGACTGATCATCACCAAGAAGTAAGCCAAGTTCATAGTTATAATCAGCAGGCATATATGGCTGATATTTCAGCATTTGGTGATCACATGTCATTGCCAATGGACCAGCAAAAGGACTTACTAGCCTATCATGATCTCGAGTCGTGGCTTTTGAGTAGTGAGGAGCCGTGTTCTTCTTCCTATAATGGTTATTATGCTCAAGCTCAGCAGCAAGTCAACATATACGATTATACTAGCTATCTGGGATAATACTCGTTATAATTAAGGCTTGCTTTTAGCCCTAGAATTATACAAATTATTATTAATTAAGCAGCTTAATCCATGGCTGATTCTTTTGGTTCAGATAACCCATTTGTAGAATTTTTTATAAAAGAAAATTATCTATGTATCAAGGGAATCCCCATTGCAATAAAAGTTCGTTAAGATTATCTCATCTTATTAACTTATGGTGAGTGGGAAATGATCATCCTAGCTTTATGATTCCCACTATTGTTTTTTGCTTGATATTTAATCTAATGAAAATATGTTACGAGTTATGCTATATATCACGAAAAAAAAATCATACTAAATCACACAAGCTAAGCACAACACGTGCCAGAAGACACACAAGAGTGGATAACTCTTACGTTTTTAATTAATTAATTATTACAAAGAGCATATTACTCATCAAATACATAGAAAAAACAACAAATATATTTTAGCCAAATTAAATGTTTCTAACACAATTCTTGTGTTTATATATAGTTATAGATTATTTAAATAAAATCTCTATTTATAGATATCTTTCTTTTTTTCTTTTGAGTTATCAATTACTTGCCAACAACTTTCAAATAACAATTTTATAAATTGAAATCATATGCATGTTGTTAATATGGTGGGGGGAGGCGCAATTAGACGTAATATGACAAATAGAATTCCTAGGCTATAAAAGTCGATGGTTGGAAGAAGAAGAGGCCACATTGCATTTGATGTCGTGGCAGCGGATGAAGTGACTTGTTTTCTTTTTCTATATTTGGGTTCCATCTTCTCTATATATATATTTGTTATTCCTGCAATATTTTACTTAATAAATTCAAGAACAAGTCTTGGTGTATATAAATTCATCCAGACATCCCAGGTTATTAAAAAAAAATAAAGAGGTCACATTAAACCCGATCGATTGTAATTGTTAGGCTATTGTATGTAGAATTTGATTTGTGTAATTATTTTATTATTGTATTAACTTCATATTAAATAAAATTATTGGCAAATGCTATAGTAGAATTGAAGAGAGCTGCTATAATTTCATTTTCATAAAAGTTTATTTTAATTTTCTCAAGAAAAAGGATAAGTTGAACTGATTTGATTATTATTTGTTGTATGTCACATTTGTTTGGAGGTAGTTTGAACATTTATTTGATTCGGTTGAAATTGTTATTGATACGCTTGTGTATTGCATTTTACTTTAAGTGAGCAACATAATAGAAGAATCTAATTTTTCTTGAACTTCTATGCATAAAGAATACTAATTTCACTAATTTGATAATATAACTTAAGGGACAGTTTTATTGAAATCTACATCTTGAAGATTTGAAGGTCTTGAGCTAGAAGGGATGTCACTAGTTAATTTTCTAGGGTTTATATTCATATTTTTGATAGAGTCATGCCTAGCTAATTGAAAAATAATCTCGCCATTCCAAGTCAATCTTCTATGAATTGAATTAGATTGTTCTTAGATGGTAATCATCTAGGAACACAAACTTGAAGTAATTTCCAGCTATCTCGATATGTAATTTAATCTCATTGTAATAATTTAGGTACTTGAAGATTTGAATCATGAGAATTGGCTTCTAAGAAAAGAGTATGATCTCCTTCATCTATCGAATGTCCCTATTTAATGTATATTTTTCTTTGATTTTTTAGGAATATTCCAATTTTGAAGACGTTCAATTGAAGCCATTGATATTCTTTCCTATTGATATCTTGGATAATATCTTGATTTTCAGTGAAATCAAGATGCATGAACATACTCATTTTAGAAGCTGTAGAAGATCTAGATGATGATGGTGATCTAGACAACCTAGACATAAGGAACACAAAAATTAATTTATAATGAGAATAATAACAATTACGAGCACGAGTAGATAGTAAGGAAATTTAATTGGGTATAACAAACAACAGCAACGCTTAACAACAACAAAGACGACTGATGAAAGACAAACTAGCTTACCACCATTGCCGGGTGCTTGATGATAAACTTTTTTTATTGAGTATGTTTGATATTGCGGTAATGATTATAGTTTTGATTTGAAGAAAATTATTTTATAAAAAGTACTTTTAATTGAAATTAATTTAAAAAAACAGGTATTTGATTAAAACTATGATTAAAATTAAAATTAAAAAAAATAATTTAATATGTTTGGTTAAGAATACTTTTGAAATCGAGATTATAAAATATTTTAAATATATATATTAATATTGATAGTTTTAAATTTAAATATTGTAGAATTAATTACTCTTATTATATCATAAAATAAATAATACTTTATAAAAATATTTTTTATTATTATATTAAACAATTTATAATTCTATTATATATAAAATTCATCCAATAAAAACTACCATTTTCATATAATAAAATTAGATAAAATATTATGAAGTATAAATTTAATATTACAGTGCGAGTAAATTTTATTTATTTTACACTAATTTTTTTAAAAAAATATTGTTAATATCATAGTACAAATAAATATAATTTAATCTAAACTAGTTTTTTTCAAATATTAAAAAAATTTATACATTAAAAAAACTAGTGAATTGCACTGTTCACGTGAACAGTGCAATTCACTTGTGAATAGTGTATATTAATGCACTATAATTGCACTGTTCAAAACAGTGCAAAAAACAGTGCAATTAGCAAGCATTTATAGTAAACACAGAGCATCAAAATGTTGCTTTTTCTTTTCTGCGTGAAAAATGCAGAAACATGTAGGGTTTATACATAATAAATTATGTATTTTTTTTTGTTATTAAATAGTTGCAGATTGTGTTTTAATTAAAACGTAACGTAACCACTCTTTTTTTCTTTTTTTTTTAATGCTCAACAATATTTAGATGCTATTAAAAGAGTAATAGTAATAGTATTATTAATAGTACTATTAATAATAATAATATAATAGTAATGGTAGCAATAATTATGATAATAATAATAATAATAATAATAGTAATAAAAGTAGGAATATTAGCTTGAAATAATAGTATAAGTAGAAGGTTTATATTTGTCAGAATGAAGAAGAAGACCAACAATTATGATTTGTTTTTCACAACATATGGAACCTTTACATAGTGCTTTTTCCATGTTTATAAAACTGTGCTCTTTTTTGTTATTTATTTGTTCATAAGAATTAGTTTAAAAGTTGAATATAACCCTTGTTGAACAATACTAAGCTTAATTTCAATAATTTAAATCTGAGCATGCCAAAAATTACTAGCAGAGGGCTAAATAAGTGAAATATTAGCAAACCATAATGTCCTACCATAAATCATATCCATTTACTTGCAAATTCTGTACTGCGAATGGCAAATCCTACTAATGATCTCAAGTCTCACATCCTTTTTTTCTTCATCTAGCTGGGAGTGGGATTTATTTTTTTTAATAAAGAGATTATTATTTCAACCGGTGATGAAATACAACTGGCAAAAGTTTTCTTACAAATACATATGCAAGTGTTCTAGACAAAAACCATTGTTCAAGACTTTCTATGAGAGAACTACCCACCCAACTACTTTGTACCAGATTGAGCATCGTCCCGTTCCATATCAGAAACTGCTTACAGATACCCAGATAGATCTTCCTGGTTCTCCAAATCCCAAACAACTACTTTACCATCCAATCCTGCATAGTAAGCAAAACACACACATGGAGGACAAGCCTAAGAATTAGGACAAAACAACAAGACTTTTTATGTATATATGATCTGATTAAATGAGATCCAAACAACAAATTGCTCATATCGCTTACCTGAAGTGCTGAAGCGTGTTTTTCTAGAACTCCCTGATTCTGTAAGAGACATAATACAACTACAGTTCCAGAACACAGAGTTAAGTGCTGCTCCGCAAAATTCAGAGATGATCAGAGGTCAACAAAAGCCCACCTCAATCTTTGCTTTTGCACTCCACATAGCAGTCATATATCATGCATATGTAGATGGAGTGGAGAAGCAACAGTTGAAGTGGACATGGGAGACCCCAACAGGAAATTTAAAAGATACGGAGGAACAATTAAACTAACAAACAATTGTAAGAACCTTAGTAGTATAGTTGAGAGGTAATTACATACCTAATGCAATTCTCGTGAATGCCTCCACGTGACCTTGAAGGTTCAATGCCATCATTGCTCGCTCCAGACTTTGATTGGCCATAAAATTTTCCAAATGCTTCAGAAAACTGCCAAAGAGAGTGGAAAAGGCAGTCTGCTGTTAGAAAGTTCTATTGACCATGTATAAAGCCCAAAGACCAAAAAGGAAAACAGCACCTGATATTCTATATATGTACTGCCTCTTAAGTGATCTAATTTACCATCTACCAAGCAACTAAAAGTTCTATTGACCATGTATAAAGCCCAATGACCAAAAAGGAAAACAGCACCTGATATTCTATATATGTACTTCCACTTAAGTGATCTAATGTAACATCTACCAAGTAACTGTGTGAATAAGCTTAAGACATATAGCATATAAAAACCAGTTGTAAGGAGGACTAAGAACTTTGAAATTTGGCCGAAATGGCCAGGACAGAAATAAAAAGGTCCAGATCCTAAAAAAAATTGGAATATTGAATTTTCACTCCATCAGGCTGACTGCCTTGTGACACATCTCTGAGCATTCCATTTTCACATCTTGCTAGTTTGCAAAAAAGCAGTAGCTAATGTGTTTATGAGCAACTCAAACTAAAGTATATAATAACTTCAGAAGTGGCATAAATTGAAGTCCTGTAAATGTCTAGAAACCAAATTGTAATCTATCACAACTCACTCCAGTTGTAAAATGGGAAAATCTGGTGTAAACCAATAAAACTGAGATATCACGCAACAGCAACATAATTGGCAAAAATTGTAGCCACGTCTGTACCTGTGAACTGTATCTTGAACCTGAAAGTGTTGATTTTCTTTCACCAAGGAACCTGATAAAGCTCCTATTAACCAAAGAAATCTCATCATTAGTTTCCGTGGGAGATAAATAGATCAATAAAAAAAAGTTTACTTGAGGCTGCCTGAAATCTCTAATGAGTAATGAAAATTGGCTATGAATCAAAGCCCACCAAGAAAACCACCGATTGGCTTGCACTTCTTTTTCTTGTTAAATACATACCATATTCCTCTTTCATCTGCTGCAAAAACCATAGGGTTGCAGTCGAATCCCACTCCTATGACCATTTTCTCAGAAACAAATAAGACCTGAAAATAAGCAGCACATTGATCCACAATTTTCAGGTGACTAAAATCACAAGTATTATGAAGAAAATAACTTGAATAACATATATATAACAAGAGTGGATGCTGACCCACATCACGGAGAGGTAAATCGCGAAATGCAACATTCTGGGCCAATGGAGATGGACCAACATCATCAACAAAATAAATCATGGAATTATGTCCTGTAACAGTACAGATGGCAGATACATAAGGAATAACCAACTTCAATAGTTTCCAACAAATGAACACCCTGAAATTTATTAATTGAGTTAAAGCAATGTCTTGATTTCTGGCAATGTTGGGTTTCAGAGACAAATACAAATGCGTTGTTAATTTGTTATTCAAATTTGATCAAGAGCTTGTGCCAAATAACAGATAAATCCATCCAATGAATAGAGTGTAAACAGAAAAACCCAAATTTCATGGAATGAATGTCATGCAAAACTTTAATCTTTGAAGATGACTGCAAAGTGAATTTCTGACCTACGTAAGCCAAGGTATTGCCACTAGGCGACCACTTCACACCAAATGCCCAGGAAAACGAGAGATCAAGCTGAACAATTTGCTGATTCAACAGAAAATGAAAAAGGATTAAAGCTCTTAAAATGGACTTTGGGATGAGAAACAAGCCTCTAGTTCCCAAACCATCATAAACTATGAGCCCCATAATAAATTCCTAGCCTTTACAAAAATTGTTCCCATAATATCGACTCCATGTCAGTGCGAGAAGAATATGCTTCATGAATTTATTTTCTATCTTACAAATATTGCAATTAGATTCCAAATTTAATTTTTTTACGCTATTTAGAAAACTAGCTCATTAATATTAACTAGGAGTATATGTTTATTTCCTATGTTAGTTAGGACTCCTTTTAGGCATATAAAAGCAATGTTGCTGCCAGCAGATTTGTCACTGAAAGTCTATTACAATTCTGTGACAAGAAAAAATTGTGAAGCGAGCAACAGCCTATTTACTGCAGCTATCATGGTGTCTTTGGAAATTGAGATGATGATTTAGAAAAAAAAAATTATAAGCAAAGGAAGAAAGTCAAATTCAAATCATTGTGCTGAAAACATCTTGCGCTTGGATCAGTTTTGTTTGTATGAACTCTTTACTTGTCCTTGTGAGCCATGCATATGTATCTAAAGCATAGATTCACATGATAATGTTACACTCGTTTTTGTGAATTCAAAGGGTTGCGTGGTGAATTTTATGATACTCATTTTCATTTCTACCCTTGTCATTGTATTCCTACCTTTTCCTAAACCACCATGTCTCCTTATTAGCTATTCCTTGGAATTTTAGACCACTTCAAGATCAGCTTTAATCCTCAACCAAACTAACTATACCACTCCATCATAAATCAAAATCATTTAGCCCTCATGTGATGATATTAGAAAAACCTGCTTTTAAAATTAAGGGTTTCTTGTTTTGGCAGTGAAAGTGTAAAACCCAAAAGAAACACTTTTATCCAAAGTTCAAAGAAAAAGATATGATAGTTCAAACCTATTGCTCGCAAATTTCCCAAAAGATTGTATAGAAAACCGAAATTCCATGGCAAAGTAAAATGATAAGAAATCAAACCTCTCCAAATTTTGAATCTGAGACAGAGCCTGCTTTGGAATCCCTGGATCATTGGCATATAGGAAACACAGACAATGACGGGCTTAGATCCATAAAGGGGAATAGTTTCCGGAAACGAGTGTTCGCTAAGGTGCTATCTAAGTTAAGCATACCTTGTATCAACACCTTTAATAAAAGTGGAAAACACTCGACATTTTCCATCTGTAGATGTCGTCGCAAGAAGAATCTGTTAACTAACAGGCACATTGTTAGGATGGCAAAGATCAGTATCACAGTTTAATAGCATAATTTGTCCCTGTACCCTTTATTTTTTAAGGATTTCATCCTGTACTAAAAATTTAGTCAGTTAATGTTTTTTCTCCTACAATAAAAGTGACACATGCCACATACATGGACATGTAACCATGAAAAGTGACACGTCACCAAGAAAATTTAATATAGCTATTTTTAACTCTTTATTTTCCTTAGCATGATGATAGTTGAGGAAAGGGGGATGCAAGACAAAAAATAGCTCGAAAAAAATCATTAGCCTAACTTCCCCTCCTTAATAATCCAAACAAATGGAGGAAAATCACTTTGCTTCCCTTCACTGAATTCCTCTTCCAAACCTCCCCTCCAAGTTTCTCAAACATACTGTATGAAAAAATCTCACTATCGGTTAAATTAAATTAGTGTACATGTTATAGTATACTCCAATTAAGAAGGGTTTGACTCATCCTCTCAATGAAATTGAATAATCTATTAAATGCACACAACTTCTCTAAAATTATGAAAGAAAAAAAACGTGGGATAGAAACACATACATTATTAGGATGCCATGCAACACTTGTCACCGAGGAATCATGTCTTTTCCTGATAAGTTTACTGACCCACCTGTTAAAAGGGAAACATAGATCAAAATAAGAACGGAAAAAATTGCATGCAGTATTCAACATTAAAACAATTGCATAGGAGAGGAAGTATGGAGTTTGATCAATGATCTAAACAGGGTCATTGAAGTCAGGCTACACAAACACTTTCCCTGATTGAGGTCATTAACATCAATATGATACTGCATGATCCCATGATAAATTCGAACATAGTAAGGAATTTTTGGCTTTTTATTTTCTTCTTTTTTTATGCGCTAGATTTTATCTTAGTATGAAGGCCTCTAATGTGACCAATACACTTGGGCCACTAGCATGGTCCATGCATAGGCCATTTTGCTAGCCATAACTAATAGAATTCCTGAGTAAAATGAACACCAAAATAAAATAAGTTAAGCAAAAAAAAAGAATATGCATGAATTAAAAATCTAAGGTAATTCAGAAACTTCTTTCTCTCTGGTCGCTTCACATCTTAGACCTAAAAATAGTAAGGTGTTCAGACCGCAGTCATGCCAAAATGTCGCTGACGTAGAAATTTGCAAGCATGAGCAATTAGCATGGATAGGGATGCATCAAATTAATAAGTCTAGACTCCGATCTATACTAAACAGAAATACATATTAATATAAAATACATCCTGGTTCAGCAGAATTCAAATCAATATCAAGCGTAAAGATAGATGGAGCATAGAAGCTCCAAATTATGGGACAAGTACCAGTTGTTGTCTTGCTCATAGTAGCATATACAAACAGTTTTAGCCCCACTTCCAACAGCGAACTTGTTCTCTGGAAGTAAAATGGTTCAACAATAATTAAAAAATCAAGATTGAAAACAGAAACAGCCAGAACACAAATCATCAATTCCAACAAGGCACATTTTTTGATGGATATGGGAGCTAGTATCAGTAAAATGAGAAGCAAGTATGCCAAGTACATGAGCAATTATCCATACAAATACATGTGGTCATGAGCAATGCATCCTTCCAAAATGGTTTTCAATCTAAATTATGGCAAGCCCATGATAATTAGATAACATACTGAAGTAAACATTATATCAGTAGCTTTTCTGAATCAAACAAAACCAAGAAGGGAGAGAACAGGTGGAAGTCACAGTTTTTATTTTTGGTGAATACACAACCCAACAGGTTTTCCACCCAATATTCTAACCAGTTCAATAAAGTTCTTTTTCGCGCGCGCACCCACAAACAAAATATATGTGCATGGCAAACAAATAAATACATTTGTGCATGTTAATACATAATATCAAGTAGTCTAATATTTAAATAAATATATTTGCAGGTAATTTGTAGTTCATGGGTTTTTGTGGTCCTGTACTGGAGTGGATTTCCATGTATCAAAATGGGTGGAAAGGAGCTTTTTCTTCTTTATGATTTCACATCACACTTATCCAGACAACTTCATCTAGCATGCCCCTCCGTCAGTTGCCTTTATTCAGCATTCTTGTTGTGGCTATGGATTGACAATGATGTAGCATTTTATACAGTAGAGGACAGGAATAGAGAACAAGAGAGTAACTGTGAGGTGCCTTGTAAATCAGAGACAAATGGGGGCTTCGGCCTTGGTTGTTAAGTCCAGAAAAATGTCTTTAGGGGGAAAACAACTGCAGCAATTCTCTTTCAGCTCAATTTCAAGTACTACTATGACTATCTAAACTTCTGTATACAAATACTAATAAACTAAGCAAATCAAATATTGAAATATACTGTAGATAAAAGGAACTAAACAATTCATAAACTATTATTTCATTTAGACCAAAAGGACCTCTTGATTGCTGAAGAACTAACAAACCTCACTTTAAGCTTCATGGAGAAAATTTATCTACATATAATAGAGCTGCTCAATTAGGTTAGCATGCTAAGGCCAGAACCATCAAACATGCAAGCCCTAAAAGTTCATATCACAGTATCCTCTCATTTTCACTTTTTCCAAGTCATAGAATGGGCAATGGGTGGATAAGATTTTGTGAGACCAAGAGTAACCTTTTTGATTGCTTTTTCTGCATCTATATTGTCTTTATAGTGCTCTATTGCTCAGTTTTTCTTAGAACCTCCATTTTTGTAGAATATAAACAACGGGAAATACAGGGCCTCTATCACTACTCCCATTTTTAAAACTCCACTTATTTGGCAGCTCATTTTCATATTAAGGCAACGGGTTTTGGTCCTGCCATTTGGAGGTTCGAATCCTTCTATCCCAAAGCGTATTTATTCTCTATATCAAAATAAAGATATTTTTTTTAACAACCTTCTATTTATAGTTAAGAGCATATCCAATGGAAGCTTTATTTCCTATAATGTATCCTAATTTTTTGGCCTGATTCTTCTGATGATGATTGATTCAACCTCTGATCAAAGAGATCTGCCTGGTTATATTTATCTCTTAAGCAAGTTTAGTGACGAGTACAGCAGCCCTATTGTTCCAGTGGAGAGAAGAACCTCCACAATACACATTAAAGTTGTTAGAAGTAGACTCTCAACCACCATCACTTCTGAAAATTGTTATGGGTTTCTCAAAATGCTTGGTTGTTAGTGAAAGGTTCCAGAAACATCAAAGACTTAAGATTTGGCACAAAGGAAAAGGAACCGTGTATATCTACTGTAACAATAAAAACAACAACATAAGGTGAATAACATAAAGAAGAAAAGGGATCAATCAACATGAAGAGGCCACAATAGCTTGGTAAAACATATAGGGAGGTTAAACATGCAACAACTGGTGCCAATAAAAAGATATGCCATTTAGGTCAGACAACAAGGAGTAAAATCTAAAAACCATGACTTAAAAACATAGTGGTTCCGTACCTTTTGGGCTCCACTGCACACAAAGTGCAGCACGGTTTAGCCTGAGTATAACAAGGGTCGGTACCCATTCTGATCCTTCTTGGTTCCAGACATATCTTGAAAGAAAAGCGGCACACAGTGAACAGGGCAAGAGGAATGAAATCATTACAAGGAAAAAGAAAAAACAGTAATGCTAAAATGAGACACTCACGAATTTCGATCATGAGATGCAGTAACAATTCTGTTTGATCTCGCACTCCAATCTATCCCACAAACAATCTGGTCATGCTGCAAGTTAAGAAAAGAAAAGTTAAGCTAAAATAATATAATTTCTTTGTTTCCGATGAAAAGAAAAGAAAAAAACAAACCTTTTGCAGAACATGGACCTTCTCCCACTTGTCTTGGGACAATCTATATATGTGAACTTCATTGTTGTTTGGACACAATGCAATCACTGCAAGAGAATTAAGAAGAAAAAAAGTTACAAGAGAAACTTCTTATGATTATTTAATTTTTCCTGGATTTTCATAGCAATCAAACAGAGTTAAAAAAATAAAAACCAAGCTCTTACTAGATCGATCCGCGCTCCAAGCATGGCAAGTGATGCACTGAGCAAACTGATGAACTTCAACGGCTGCCATTTACTTTTTCGATTCTCTTTTTATATTATGTAGAGGAAAAGATTGGGTTGAATAAATTTCAAACAATTGAGACAGGATCTGAATTGCAATTTTCAGATCCAGCCTTATAGCAGGGAGATCAAAGACGTGGTGTTGTCCTTTGCATCATCCAGCAGTCTTGCTCTGCACTTTGTTTCTTCTTTACTCTTCCTCGTCTTTTGTTAGATTTAAATTTGCCCCCAGCATCCCCAGGTTTATGGGATGTCTAAATTTCTCCCGGATGTTTGGTTTGTGTCAGGTAGCTCCCTCAACTTTCACTTCAGCTTCAATTCTCTCCTCGTCCATTACAGCATGATATGTGTAGATTTTAATTTCCTCTCGACAATTTATTTGACAATATGGTTGTTGTTATCTCGACAATTTATTTGACAATATGGTTGCTATTATTTTTAAATAATTTTTTGTATTAAAATATATATTAATAATATTTATTTTATTTTAATAACATTATTTTTAATATTAATATATTAAAATAATTTGAAAATACTAACAATATATTAATTTAAAATTAATAAAAATAAATAAATTTTTAAAAAAATACTTTTAAAACACAAAAACAAACATGAATTTAAAAAAAAAATAAAGATGAAATGGGGTTTTTCTTCCTCTGCTGATTCTCTCATAATCCAAAAAAAAAAAAATTCCTTTACTCTATTTAATTTATTTTTAACAGGGTTTGATTGTAATTTGGATGAAAAACTATCATTCTTTCCTTTGCTCGATTTAAATTATTTTTCTTTTACTCGGGTTTGCTTCATCTTAAATTATTTTTCTTTTACTCAAGTTTGCTTTATCTTATCATGCAAGCTGGGATCTCAATTGATAAGATTTTAACTAGGATGCCTTGTATAAAGTAAAACTTTCAAAACCATGACACCCATTACATTAAATTATCATATTTTTAAATTACATGAATTAAAATATTTAAAATATAAAGCATGGTAAAAATATATTTAAAATATAAACTTTTACTTTTTATCTTCTTATAATTTACTATTCATTGTGGATTATAATAATATATTTAAAAAAATTTCATTTTGATTCTTAAATTATTTATTTGTACAATGAAGTTGAATTCAACATCCAAATATATGTTTTTTCATGAAGGTTTAAGTTAAAAGATAAATAATCAGAGTAAAAAAATATATGTAACATAGATGGTACTTTAGATTTTATTTGAAATGTATATTTTAACTCTGGTCTTTTTTATTTAATAGGTATTAATTTTAGAAATAATAATTTATGCACCAAACTTCATTTTCATTGTTTTTTGATCTTTCATGGGTGAGAGAGGAGAGAGACTTGTTGATGATGCAATGCTTTCTGCCATCAAAATAATTAATTTTTATATTGGATAATTTCATGTTACTAGAAAAGTTCAAGTTATGTGTTTTTATATATATAAAAGTGATTGAAAAACATATATAAACTCATGAAGATAATTTTTAGATTGATTTTGAGTTTTAAGCCAAGTGTTTTTGTTTTTAGAGGTTGCATGTTGATTTACCAAGATTCTTAAAGTATTTTTTAAATGTTTTAGACTGAAAAATCATAGTTTTAAAACTTGTCTCGATGGGTTGATCTATGACTTGAAGTTAGATTTAAGAAAAAATAAGTTAAGGATATTGCCTGAAAAACTCGATCAACCTAAAGAATCGACTGAAGACCCGAGTAAATTCAGATAAGACATAATTATTATTTTTAATATATATAAGTAAAACGTTACAATATCATTACAGATTTGAAGATTAAAAAAACCTAATATGTATGTTTAAGTCAATGAAGCATTTTTAATATTCAATCTCTTCCACACCTTTTGTGTTTTCATTCTTTTATGAACCATTCTTCTCTCTCAACTCCTTTTTTTTATTATTGCTTAAGCTAACATGTAATTAGATACTAGGAAAAACCTATTTTTGCATGTAAACTATTTATATTTGATTTTTTTTATTGGTTGATTCTTCCATGTTAGTTTTTTCTTCTAAACTTATTGCTTGAGCGAATCAGTAACTAGACACTTGGAAAACCTTTCTTTTTTGTTTTTTTACTGCCCCAGGTCATTATATCTGATTCGTGATCCGATCATTATATAAAATCGCTTACTAAGTTGGATTTAAAAATTATACAGAAAATAAGTTAAAATAATTTTTTAAAAGAAAAATCCAGGAATCCCTTTTTTCAATCCACCACGGGGTTAGATTCTAGAGATTTCAAACAGCACATCTTTTATTTTTTTTTAAGCTAGACTCGTCCATTTTATTAACTTGCAAATAAATAAATAAAAACTCGTGCACATGGGCCTAGCCTTGTAAGCCTGCAAGGGTCCATTATTCATGTGTCATTTATTTTTTATTTTGAATTTTTATACATAATTTTAAAATCATATTTTAAGTTTGTATTTTACTTATATGTGTGTTTTTATTTGCCATTTTTAAATAAAATTTATTTTTTAATTATATTGCATGTCTTTAATTTCTTTAGGGACTAGTACAATTTATTTGTGATTTTTAGTTTTTTTTTTATATATTCATTTTATTTTTTAAAAATTAAAATATTTATTTATTTATTTATAATATTTATAATATGTGTAGCATTGCATAATTATATTTTTTTTATTTAATTCAATAAATTAAACGTGTGTCAATTACTATTACAAAATGATTTAAAAAAATAAATTCACCAAACACAACTAGTTAAATGACCTGTTTTACAATATTAAATGTTTTAATCTATATTTTTTCTTAATTTTTTAATTTTATTTTTATTAATGGTTAATGATTTTTTAAAAAAAATATTATTTACACAGTAATTCTTGATTTATTTAATCTTAACTCTTATTTTTCTGGCTGCTAATTTTATTTTTGATTTTTATATATATTTATTTTTTAATTTAATTTTTTAACATTTGATTTTTTAAGAATTGAACTTTTTAATTTTTCTATGTGTAGCACTTCCAGTTTGATAAATTAAATTACAAGTTTAAAAAATTAATAGACATTGATATATTTTTTTTATAGGATTTCCGTGGCAATATTTTTAATTTTTTTCTGTTTAATTTTTTTGTTTTATTATCATACCAATCAACATTCAATTTTGTTATTAAATTTCCTTTATTGTTTTTAAAAATTATAACAATCTCCTATTTTTTTGTTTCTTATTACAAAATAATTTTAATAAACAAATTTACCAAACATGACTAGGTAAATGACTCGTATTATAATATTAAATATTTTAATTTATATTTTTTCTAAGTTTTTTCTATTTTATTTTTATTTATCATTAATAATTTTTTAAAAATATTCTTTATATGGTAAATTTTTATGTATTTAATCTCAACTCTTATTTTTCTAGCTGTTAATTTTATTTATGATTTTTTATATATTTTTTAATTTAATTTTGTAATGTTTTATTTTTTAAAAAATAATTTTTTTTAATTTTTTTTATGTAGATAGTGTTTTCAATTCAACAACTGGATTATAAATTTGGAAAATTAATTTTTTTTACAGCTTTTAGCATGACAGTATTTTTTTAAAAAATATTTTTTTCCTGTCTTCTTTTTTTGTTATATTATCATATCAATCAACATTTAATTTTGATATTATATTTCCTTTACTTTTTTTAAAATATAACAATCTCCTAATTTTTTGTTCCCGGGTTATTTCACGCGTACATGTTCATGATGTCTCTCATTAAATGGCTTGTCATCGTTCTTTATTGGGAAGATACAAATGCTTAATCAGATGAGGAACTGGTTGATCGATGTAGACAAGATAGTTCATTAATTTTGATTCTACTTAACGAGTGCTTCACTTGCTGAGCACTTTACTTGCATAAAAATTTTAGATTTTGATTTTTTTTTCTTGTAAATTTTATATTCGAGATATCTCACATGTAATTAAATCTACATAATAAAGTTGAAATTGTTTGTTTTTTAAATAAAGTATTAAGTTCGAGTTTTATAAATATAATATATTATTATTTAAAAAGTTTTATTTTTAATAAAATAAATTCAATTTTATATGATTAATTAAAATTCCGTAAACTTTAGATATTAAGATCCAGAAAATAAGGCATTGTGGTTCAACTGTTATTTTATTATTTTTTAAAATTTTTTTGTTTTAAATTTTTTTTTGGTATTTTTTAATTATTTTAATTTATTGTTGTTAAAAGTCATTTTTTAAATGACTATTTTAATATATTTTAAAATAAAAAATATTTTAAAACTTAATTTTTATTAAAAAAACTAAATCAAACTAATTACAAAAACAAGTGGAAAACAGATATTTAGAAGATTCATTGATTTTTTAAAGTATTTTTTATTTAAAATAATATTTTTTTTATTTTTTAAAATTATTTTTAATATTAGTTTATTAAAATAATTTAAAAATATTTAAAAATATTAATATAAAGTAATAAATAAATAAAATCTTAATTTTTTGTAAAAATATTTTTAAAATGCAGATATAAACAGTTTCGTTTCAAATGTGTAAACGGGTATAGTTCATAACAAATGAGAGTACAGGGACAAAACATAACATTAACTGATCAACCCTTAAAAGGTCGCTCGGCAGTTGCGCTAGGGTTTTCTCTTTTCTCTCCTCTGTGCCACTGAGCTGATACAATAGACCGAGACTTCCACCAGGTACCCATCCAAATCTGCTATAACTGTCTTCTTTTCCTGGTCAATCATGCTTGGTTGCTGAGAATAATTTAAGACTACCCTCTCTCTCTCTCTCTCTCTCTCTCTCTTTTCCAATGTTATAAATAATGACTTGTGTGCTTGATGTTCTTCTGATGCTGATACAGACACAGAACAATAAACAGGAGGGCGCTAAAGTATTTATGAAAGCTATTGTTTGCTAATACATAATCTTTTTTAAACAAAACGACTGGTTATGCCAAATATGGAAACTCAAAATTCTAACGTTTCACGAGCTGAAGAAATCAAAGTCTTGGCCAATGAAGCATTTAAAGGTGCTGCTACTCTTTTTTTTTTTTCCTGTTTCTTCTCTTTTGCATTTTGTGTAGCTATTTTTTTAAATCTAAGTCAGTGTCGGTTTGGTTGCAGCCCACAAATATGGACAGGCTATTGATCTGTACACGCAAGCTATCGAACTAAATGGTGACAATGCAGTTTACTGGGCTAATCGTGCATTCGCTCACTCTAAACTCGAGGAATATGGCAGTGCGATACAGGATGCTTCGAAAGCCACTGAAATTGATCCTAAATACTCGAAGGCAAAGCACATTTGTCTTGACTTTTGTTTTTTTCTCTTTTGTATCCGTATTTAAATCTCTGCTTTTGTTCTGATGGTTATCTGAATTTCAGGGTTATTACAGGCGAGGCGCTGCTTATCTTGCCATGGGCAAATTCAAAGATGCTCTAAAGGACTTCCAACAAGTGTGTTTTTTGCTTGGGTTGTGTTTGAACAAACTATTGCCCCCCTCTTGTTCTGTTAGAATATTTGTCGCATTGGACCAACTCTTTTTCTATGATATGCTAATGTACACCACTTGAATTTCCATGTGCTCAAATTAGGTGAAAAAAATCTGCCCAAATGATCCTGATGCTTCAAAGAAATTAAAGGAATGTGAGAAGGCAGTAATGAAGCTTAAGTTTGAAGAAGCAATTGCTGTTCCCGAGTCTCAGAGGCGCTCAGTAGCTGATTCTATTGATTTTCATTCGATAGGTACTTGGACCTTTTGAGTTGATTTCTATTAGTTTGTCTTAACCATGTCATTTTTTCTTATTTTTTTCTTTTTTGAGTCATTCAATATTATTAAAAGACATACTTTTAGCACAAAAAGGAATGCGGTGAAAGTCATTGCATGCTGCAGAACAAACTATAAGCACGTCTTTGCTTCTTTGACTTCTTTGTTCCCTTCTTCTGTTTGCAATTCAAATCATGGGTTTACTTAGATCTTTTTCCATTGTCTGCCGTTTGCACTTGTAAGGCAATGAATAGTGACATTAGGTTCCATCCCTTTACTTTTGTAAATGGATTAAGTTTATTATAAGTTCTCATCTATGCTGTTCTGTGCTTACATGTCTGTCGAGAAGTATTTCTTTGTGGGAATTTGACTCTACCCAATCTGTGGAAACCCAAGTAGTGCAATTGTATTGAGTCTTGGCACTATTAAATTTTTTTATTTTTTTTATGTGTGGTTATGTTGTATATGATTCAGACCCTGGTAATCCTTACAATGTTGGTATATTTGGCCTTCTTTTGCAAAAGAAGAGGATCTTCTTATGTTCTGTTTGTATCAAATACACACACACACAACAACAACAACAACAACAAAAACAAGAAGAACAAGAAAAAAGCCTCAAATCCCATTCATGCAAATTTTTCCTAGTAAAGAATCGTGTTCGTTACTTTTACATGGGCTTCATAAGATGGATTAGCTATTGTATACCAGGGATACACTAGATGTTTCTTCATCGAGCAAAAAGTCTTTTTCGTCAAAGAATGAGTGCCCAAGGTAGATTTCTTGGTTTGGGGTTTAAAGTTTGGAGTCATGGGTGATTTTGTGAGCAGGGGAGGATAGTAATTCTTGCATATTCTTGCAAAACCAGTGCACTTTGGTAACTTGGTATTTGGTAGAAGGACCTAGGATTACCATTTGGTGTCTTAGTCTCTACTAAATATTCTTATTTAGTTCCCTTCTTAGTCAACTTAGTAGTTGTACCTGGTATCCTAGTGCTGGTAGGAGTTCTAATCTATATAAATGGAGATGGAATGTCTTACTTTCACAAGGGTTGAGTTAGGAAATAAATTGAGAGTTAATGTTATATTGAAGGTGTGGCGCATCAGATTTTCTTCTTTCTCTAATTCTTCTATTGTCTTCTCTTCTTCCCTATTTTTGGATAGTTCCTCAGGTTTTATTCACAGACCAAATTAGAACACGATGACATTCAATCTTAATTTTGCACAAGTTAAACCTTTACCTTAATTCCCACCTCAAACCTAAAAGTTCATCATATTCAAGGCTATCCTGTATCATCAAAAGCACGTTGTTGATAGCCTCTTACACATTTGAGCAAACGTCAATGCATAGCATATTACTTGGCCTTCCCTTTTCTTTATTTTTCTGTGAATGGGTGAATGTATTGGGTATGGAACGCAATCTGGAACCCAGTGATGTAAGTTGTGACAGGAAAACTAATACAGAACCTGTCACAAGTCATTAGCTACTTGAGAACAGTAGTACTACATTTTCCAAAGCTAACAACTGACCAGTTCAAGATAATTATCTTAACAGTTTTTTAATATGTTATTGTCTGGTAGATTTGGAGTTGTCATGTGGATCCTCGATCTTATTTTAAAAACTGTTGGTTTCTGTGGCATTTTGGACACTGACTTTATCTTGTATGTGATCCAATCAAGAATTGTTTAGTGATAACTGCATTGAAATGATAACTGCATGCTTTGTATATATGGTGCCCTATTGGTAAATTGTGTTAAGAAATTGAGGAGGATGGGGCCAAGGAAGTGATCTTGCAGATGAAGCTTTGGCATGATGGAATTATATAGCCATTTTTTTTTTCTATAGTAGTGACCAGATGCCATATTTTGGTGACTGGATGGATGGAAATGTTGATGAACAGCTACCTTACTGGCATGCAACCTAGGTTGGGTTGACAATTTTATAACCAAAGCAGGTCAACAGAGCCTTAAGAAATCAGTTTGGAAAGTATTGGTTCTATGGTCAAGTAGCGTTTAACTTTCTTCACTTTTGTTGCTCTTGCTCTTGTTCATGTCTAGTAGATTTTGATGGTATAAAGGGTAAAACTAATGCTATGTCTTTTTATTCAGCACCTAAATCTCTAAGGTTTACATGTTTTGTATGTTTATACTTGGGCTAAGTTATGTCTTAAGAAATAAAAAAAAGTAAGAACTAAAAATTGAAATGTGGAAAATGGAAAAGAAGCTAGCATCACACTACGGCTCCTAGGAATTCTCAGGTGTCACTCCCAAAAGAAGATGCATCGCACTTCGTACCAAAGCTGCCTAAAATTCCGATGCACTCATCCCTGTATGTAGTGGAAGAAAGGAGTGGTTCCAAAGTAGGTGCACACTAAACAGTGCTTAAGAGGTACACCTTAGGTGGTGCTAGTTGGCTAGCCAGTTGCTTAATATGGAAATAGATAACTGGTCAACTTGTATAAAATTACAGAACTAACCCTGAAGATCTAAAACATACAGAACTGTACCTGACTTTGAAAATCAAATGAAACACAAAATTTTTGATGTTTTTGTTGGTTTCATAAAAAGAGGCACTTTATTTCTCAGGTATTAAAATAATAAGAATTTATTGAGGAGGGAATTTCTCTTCTGTCTTCCTTTGGGAATATTTGTGGATTGGTGGAAACCATTTCATTGCCTTTCATTGTCTCTGTCATCTATCAAATCTTTCATTGTGCCCTGATGATCTCAAACTTCTTTCTGCCAAGGAAGGACAATTTTTTTCTAGAATCTCCACTCGGACTCAATGTCTAGATAAGTTCGGAGACATTGTATAAGATTCTGATGCTCCCGCTTCTCATTTAAGTTGATCTGACAGTTTGACCATTTTGGTTTGAATAAGGGAGCAGGTCAATTAGCAGACGCTTTAAGTTTTATCTTCGTAATTTGTCCCTCTAAGCTTGATCACTCTTGACTCATGATTATATTACTCCAGTATATCTCATGATTAAATTATATAAGTATTAATTTTATTATTTTTTAAATATTTTATCATAATAGGGACTAGCCCCAGTTCATCATCCATGCCCACCCAAGTGGCCATAGCACCAGTAGCAGTAGCAGTTGTGGCAGCAGCTGTGATGTTGGTGGGAACGGCAAAACCTGTTGTGGTGGTTGCAGTGCTAATGGTGGTACTGGTGGTCCTAGGGGCATATTTGTGGGGTAGCTGCAGGGGTAGTGGTGTTTTTACCAAGAGAGGAATAATGGATTTAGGTTTGAGCTCAGATTTAATAAATTATTATGGTCAAAATCTGTTTTCATATCTCTTAAGCACAGTTAGTTAATTTATTTAAATAGGAAAGCCCAATCACTGGGGGAAAAAAAAACTGTATTCCTGATTTAATGTCCTAATGCTTGAAGAACACATGGGATTTACAATTTACAATGTATAATATATCAATGCAATTGACTTGAGCACGTGGGATTTAAGTTTAGTAATAGTAGGCCATGTAGTGTTGATCTAAGATTTTACTGATAACACGACATAACCACAAGATGAAGATCTTAAGCTATGCATTCAAGGAAATTTATCTGCTTGCTTACTTTAGGTTTATGAAGAAGCATTTGAAGCAAATTACTAATCCTTGAAATCTGGTATGTCTTCTCTTTGGTTTGATGCGGCACCATATCCTTTCCATTATCTTCTTTTGCTTCATTTTATGAACTGCCTGCTGTGTTGAGTCTTCAATGTTTTAGCATGTAATATAGCCTAAGTGTGACCTTTCCATGTTTATCGAGGCTACAATCCTACTCATACTCCTCCAATCCGATTTTGAAGATTTGTCTTTACTGGTTATTTTGCTGCATACCTGCTCTTTCCCACTCTATTTGTAGATCCCACATCATGAATACATGACATGATGCAGGTAGGGGGAGGAAAGGTACCAAGGTGTTAGCTACTGAAACCTAAAGAAGTTATTCTACCTTTTGTCAAGATGAAATATCAGTCACAACACTATTGGAGTTGTTACCACACGTGGATTTCCCAAAATCTGACAACCATCAGCATTATGTGTCTTCTGGTTGCTTTCCCATTCAGTTTTAGGCTTTACCTGTATTTGAATTCACGCACAATGTAGTTCCCAGTACCGGAGAACCCAACTTAAGCTTTTGATATATGTCCTTTCTAGATGATTAGTTTTATCTTTAAGGCTCTGGGTTTATTAATGCAGAAAAAATGAAAAAAAAATGGAAAATTCTTTGATTTTTAGGGGTTAAGTCCATCCTAGTATTAAATTTATTGTGCTCATTTGGCTCTAATTTAGATAACAGGTCTATATTTTTGTTTAATGAAGAAAATCTTAGGTGTTAAATGTTTAGATCCTTTTTACACAATTAGTTTTATTTTTAGGTTTTAGGTCTATTAATGTAGAGAAATGAAAAAAGGAAATCCTTTGTTAAGGAGCTAAGTCCTAATGTTAAATTAATTGTGTTCTCGTGGCTCTAATTTAGGCACCAGGTATGTCTCTTTGTTTAATTAGGAAAACATTATATTTTTATTGAACCTTTACATCTGATTGCAATCTCATTTTATTGGTTGACTCTTCTACATGATTGGTTTTAGAACTCTTCTTCTGGATGAAACTTCTAGGTGGCTTTAGTAGGTCTCTGAGGTTTAATCAAAAGAGGAGAAAATAAGCTTTGATACTGTTTGTGGGTGTTATTCATGCAGGCTTGAACATGCCCTGTGTCATTCCAGATCAATGCCTCTGATCCCATTTTAATTCCAAAATTAACCCTCATTTTAAGCCTTGGCCCGCCTGTTTCCATCCTATAGAAACCTTGCTATTTAAAGTGGAACACTCCTCTAAAATCTGTCTTCTTTATCCATGTTCAAAAAATTATTTTGTTCATAAAATAGAAGGAATACATTGGATGTTTGGACATTTAATTGCTTGCATCTGTGAAAATAAATTTGGGGACGTTTGTTTCTATATGGTACCTGTCATAAAAAAGCAATAGAAAAAGGGGTGATGTTATACTGAAAGCCTTTATGGTAATGAGGCTATAATACATCTAAGCCCGGCTCGTGTTTATCCAGAGATGCTTCTTCCTTCCTGCGTCTCTCTCTTTCTCCTTTCCAGGCCAACTGTTTATTTGTAATAGTCTATTTTTATGGAGCTGAAAAGAACTTAACCAGATGCTTTTATCTCCTATACAGTAATGAAGTTGTTTTTCTGTCTCTGTTCTAGATGTCGAGCCACAATACTCTGGTGCAAGGATAGAGGGAGATATTGTCACTTTGGATTTTGTCAAGAAAATGATGGATGACTTCAAGAATCAAAAGTGCTTACACAAACGGTATTATTCTCAAGGATGGTTATGAACTTAGTTTTTACAATATGGCTGATATAATGTTCTCACTTTGACCTTGCTGGAAATGTTCCAGATAACTTAGATTTTGCAATATGGCTGATATAATGTTCTCACTTTGACCTTGCTGGAAATGTTCCAGATAACTTAGTTTTTGCAATATGGCTGATATAATGTTCTCACTTTGACCTTGCTGGAAATGTTCCAGATATGCATTCCAGATGGTTTTACAAACAAGAGAAATTCTGCAAGCTCTGCCTTCTTTGGTTGATATAAATGTTCCCGAGGGCAAGCATTTCACTGTTTGTGGTGATGTACATGGTCAGGTGATGACATTACTTCTGCATTTTCACAATACTATAACTAGTTCATGCTTATGCAAGAATTTTGGTGGAGATTCTTAGATGCAATTCTGGCCAAACCATAGAGAGCATGGTGTGTTTAACTTGCCTACATGGTAATAAACCATTCTGTGGATAAGTTTAATGGCACAATGAAGCTTTGTCTGAAACAGCTAATTTGCTAAGCCTCGAGCATGGTGGTTTTTTGGGGTGGGTGGGGTTAAACAAGAACTTGATTAGGTTGGAGATTATTCATTTTCTAAAGGAGCCAAAGGAGAGAAACTGATTTAAAATAGCAGGGTATTCCAATCCCTCTGGATATCTACTACTAATGAGGCACCCTAAAAGGGAAAACTACCCTACTGTGCAATAACTGCATGAATGAGAAGTTTTTGTGAATATCCTCTTGTTCCACCTACCAAATGCACTGAAAGACTGCATGGACAGCACAAAACCACTAAATCTTGCAATCTATCCTCAACAAAACCACTGAAGATACAAACAACCAGTCTTAAAAGAATCACCACAAAATGTAAACAGACAATGCCACGTATCCCAGGCCAGTTAGAATTGAAGGAAGAAATGACTTTGAGATTCACAGTTTCAATAGCACATAACACAAATATTTGGAGGAAAGGCCTTAGCAGGCTTTCTAGTTTTCTTTGTCATTCTTTAATAGTAATTTTTTCGTGTTTTGTTGCTGGCAACTAGCAAGAATGTCATGTTATTCCAAGCCATCCATCATTAACTGTCTTTATATATTTTTTTCTTTGTTTATTTATTTCTGTCTGTGTAAGGGGTTTTTTTTTGTGCGTGTTTTGTAATACATGCAGTTCTATGATCTATTAAACATTTTTGAGCTGAATGGGCTTCCCTCGGAAGAGAATCCATATCTGTTTAATGGTGACTTTGTGGATAGGGGATCATTTTCCTTGGAAGTCATCCTCACATTGTTTGCTTTCAAGTGCATGTGTCCATCAGGTGCACACCCTAATGGCTCTTGGTCCTTTTTCCCATTCTCCCTTTTTTGTTCACCCTTGCTTTAGGTAATTTGACTATCATTGTGTGGTGCATTTACTTATTTCTATTTCTTCAGCTATATATCTTTCTAGAGGAAATCATGAAAGCAAGAGCATGAACAAGATATATGGTTTTGAGGGTGAGGTCAGATCCAAGTTGAGCGAGACATTTGTCGAACTCTTTGCAGAAGTCTTCTGTTGTTTACCTTTGGCTCATGTAATAAATGGGAAGGTGTTTGTGGTACATGGAGGTCTTTTTAGTGTTGATGGGGTGAAACTGTCTGACATTAAAGCCATCGATCGGTTTTGCGAACCTCCAGAGGAAGGTAACCTTCTCAATTCTTCTATTTTTAATTTTTAAAATTCCTAGTATTATGTACTGTCATTTGTTGAGATCCTCCTGTGGTAGAGAAAGTTAAAGTGCTTCATATTACTGCAGCTTTGTTCTTCGATGAAGGTAGTGCTTGAAGAATGCATGTTGTAGCGAAGTACATTAGAAGATCTATTCTTTCTGTAGTCTTCGGATTTATGCATGAATAGGTGGCCCCTGAGACATTATAATGAAATTATATGCACGTACATAGTTAGATAATTGAAGCTTTTGAAATGTGAAATCATTAGCTCTCATAGTATATTCTCTCTTTTTTTCACCCCATTGTCACCAGGATTGATGTGTGAATTGCTATGGAGTGATCCACAGCCTTTCCCTGGAAGAGGTCCTAGCAAGCGGGGTGTAGGGCTTTCTTTTGGTAAAGATGTGACACGGAGATTTTTGCAGGACAATAACCTAGGTATATTATCTTGCAGCGGTAATGCTTCCATTGCTTTTATAGTTGGTCAGTTCTCACATGCTTCTCAAATTAACAGATTTAGTTGTGCGATCTCATGAAGTAAAGGATGAAGGATATGAGATCGAGCATGATGGTAAATTGATCACTGTATTTTCTGCTCCAAATTATTGCGATCAGGTAATAAACCATGATTAATCTTTCTAATGTGGCAGGACTGTGTTTTTAGTTTTAGCATGTGAGCTTTGAGCTTCAGATGATATGGCATTTTATGCTTCATATAGGGAACTATGGCGACTTCTCTTATCTCAATTTGGCTTATTGTCTATGTGCCTTCTCTGGTGAATTGTGTTGGTAACTTATGTGGTCTACTTGTAAAATACAAAATTCAATTATTTTTCATCTGAATTTTTTACTAGCAAAAGAATAAAAGACTAAATTTGTTCTAAAAAGCAGAGGTTGACCTTGTTCACTTCAAAAGAAGATATTCCATAGCTGGTGCATGAAGCTCAACTTGTAAATATGTATAGCTAGTAGTAGTTGTGAACTTTTATCAGCAACAACAACATAATAGGGATTGTTTGCGCCCGTGCTTTTTCAACAGGTTTTATCATAAAATTTGCTTTTGTATTCTGTGACTTGATGATGCAAGCTTTAGCAGTGTAGCTAAATACTGTTTCCGGTTAATTTTAAGCTTGAGCATACATAGACTGATGTTATGTTTTGAGAATTTCCTGTATGTTTTGCAGATGGGTAACAAGGGTGCTTTTATTCGATTTGAAGCCCCTGATTTGAAGCCAAATATTGTTACATTCTCAGCAGTGGTCAGTAGCACATACTCTTATTGTTTTCTCTTAACAAATCCTTTCGCTATTTCATTTTCTTTCTGGAGAAGGAGTGGTGGCCATGGCAGTTAGGTTCGAGCAGAAGTGACGGGGGCATATTGCTCTCTTGCATTTGAATTTCATTCATCCTGTAGTGATGCTGCCACATTGATGATGTTCTTTTGTGCTTTTAATATGCAGCCTCACCCTAACGTCAAGCCTATGGCATATGCAAACAACTTCCTGCGAATGTTCTCATAATTTATGTACCTGTCTGGGATGGTCATTCTTATACTTTATCAGCCGCATGGTGTCTCTGCTGTCAAAATGCTAGTTGTTTCATATGGCAGCTGGAGAGGAGCCCGTACATGCTGACAAATTCTGCTTTTAAGTTGTGATATTCTTTTAAATGACACCTTTTCCTTGCCCTCTCCTTTTCCTGCTCTTCATCTGTAAGAATTTTCAGCGTGTGGTCTCCTTTCAATTTTTTTTTTCCAGGCCAGTTATAGGTGAAGCAAGTACTGGCATGGATGTTGGTGCCATTGTAAAACGTATGACCTCCTTCGTGCATTGTTTTCATTTTTCAATCGTAAGGCGAGTTGTGTCCAGCATGGCGATTCGTCAGTGCAAAAATTGAATAAAGTTGCAATCACAAATAAATGTAGCAGCTGTAGCGTGACTCAAGTGCATGCCATTCGGGGCTCCGATTCTGTTTATGATCCTCCGGTGACAAGGGAGGTGCCATTGTAAAACGTATGACCTCCTTCGTGCATTGTTTTCATTTTTCAATCGTAAGGCGAGTTGTGTCCAGCATGGCGATTCGTCAGTGCAAAAATTGAATAAAGTTGCAATCACAAATAAATGTAGCAGCTGTAGCGTGACTCAAGTGCATGCCATTCGGAGCTCCGATTCTGATTATGAACCTCCGGTGACAAGGGAGAACGCTGCCATTACTTCCGATTATCTACTGTGCACGTATATATAGTGACTCATGGTACGCGAGCATGCATGTGCACCTCGTGTGTTCTATGATCGAAGTGAAACGCTGGTGCAATGAAATGGTGAAGGGCTAGTAACGTGCCTCTAGCGGTTAGATCTTAACTTTAACGTTGACTAGCGTTGAAAAGAAAGTCTCCGTTTCGGTTATTTTATAAACCAAATTATTTTTTAGTGGTAAGCCTGAAGCAAAGTCGCCCTTCATTTCCCTGCGTCATGGGCAACTGCAATCAAAACCTTGATCGATTGATGGTGGATTGTTGGTAATGGTCTAGTGCCTGTAGTTCCTTCTTTATTTGTCGTTTTAATGACGAGTGATACAGCGGAAACAGCCATTTTTCCCTTGGAGTGCACAGTTCGAAGGTGATTAATTCGCTTGCAAAGTGGTGACTTGTTCAAGGATCCATCATTTGTTTTTTCGGTGAGTAAGCTAGTCTCAGTTCTGTTTTGTGCAGGTCAAATAAAAAAAAAAAGTTGCACATAAATATGATTTAGTTAACTCGGTCTAAAAATAATAAATTAATAAAAAAATATGAGAATGAAATAAAAAGAAATGAGATGAAATTGATAGAAAAAAACTTTACAACCCCAACTTTTTATGTACCTCAGGTTTAAAATTAAACTTTATGAGAGTTTTCCTGATGTGACTCAGTTGATGAGGGTAAGATAGTTTAAAGATAATTTAGCTAACTGATAAAAAAAATCTAAAGATGAAATAAAGAAAAAAGAATGATATTCACAAGAAAAAAAATCTCATAACCCAAATTCTTGCTTAGCTTAAGTTTAAAATTAAATCATATGGAAGTTATCTTGACTTGATTTGATTTACAAGCAATTCAAAAACAATTTGAATGGTCGTTGAAAAAAATGAGGATGAAAATAATAAAAAAATAAAAAAATAAATTAAAAAATAAAACAAAGAGCTTCATTATTTAAATGAGCAAATTATAGCTTACACTAGGTTTTTTTTACATGTACTACATCACGAGTTTAGTTTTTTTTTTTCAACCTTAAAAAAATTATAAAGACAATACAAAGCAAAAAATTGATGCATATCAGCCAAATCACTTTTTAAATAATTAAATGGTAATATAGTGGATAATATATTTTTGAAAAAAAATTACCTCGACTTGGACTAACCATTATTAACTTGTGAAACCAATAATATAAGGTAGAAATCATTTTAAAACTATGAAATTTATATCAAGACAAATTAGAAAGCTCGTTTATAATAAACTAAATATTAAAAACTAGAAGAAAAAAAAATAAATTTAAAAAAATATCTAAAAAATTAAATAAACTTGTATTAGTGATTAAAGCAAGCCATATACTGGATCAAATTTCTCCAAACATAAAAAAAAAAAATCAAAAGAAAAATTGTAAGGCAGCCCTAGGATTTCTAGATAAGTAAAAGAAGAGAGAGATCAAATCTTGAAAAAAATTTGAAAAACTGGTTTGCAAATTCGAAGGTCAGACATAAATTTATAAAAAGATGCATATTTGACGACATATGCATATTACTTTTTCTGCACGGCTTTAGGTTTTTGTTAATTACCTGCGTAACTTTGACTAAGTTCTCAAGGATGAACCAAGTTATGGCTCAGCCTTGCTGATTGTTGAGAAATGGTTTTTTAATAAAAAATTGATTAGGAAAAGGTTGAAAAATAAGAGTTGATCCATCAAATTAGAGAGAGATTTACCTCTCTATGACGTGGAATAGATTTAAAACATAAATGATGAGCAAATAATTTTTCATGATTATTACAAGCTCCACTTTTCCTTTAGCCAGCAAAGTGAACATGTGGATTGAATTATTGCAATTGATAAAAACATTATAGATTTTTTAAAAAAAAAACAGAAATTGATAAACCTACAAGTGGATCTTTGATAAGATTAAAGAAGAAGAAGAAGAAGAAGAAGATAAAACCCACGAGACCTCTCAAACCTCCCATCAATCAATCAAAAGCCGCTTTAGGCATGTCAAGTAGCGGGTTTGGACTGCATTATATGTGTGTACCTTCTTCATCTCTGCTCCGGATTTGGGATGGGGAAAAAGATTTTCCCTTGGTTTGGATTTTTTTTAATATAAAAAGATTTTTTATTTAAGATTGATATTTACTGATTATTATCTAATAAAAAATAAATATTCATTCCATATAAATATTGTTTTTTCCCCTTAACTCTCATTTATAGTTGAATATAAATGATCAAAATATAAATCCATTTAAAAGATAAATTATTCAAAAAATATACAATAAAAAAGAATAACAAAGTGAACATATATGTTGATGGATATAAAGATACGACGAGCCATCAGAACCAACATTCTTAGGTTTAGCTATATATTGAGTTTAAATGGACACGGATATTACGGACTGTCAAACTCAATATTTTTTAATTCAGTTATTTGTTAATTCTAAATAGATATGGATCTGATAAACTGCAAAACTCATCTTTCATAAACTTGATATTATACCCGCCCCAAGTAGGTATGAGTTTGATCATACACTAAGCCTAAATGGACATGATTCTAGTAAATTGTCATACTCATCACAGATCAACATCCTTAGGTTTAACTATATATTGAGTTTAAAGGACACAGATCTTACGGGTTGTTAAACTCAAAGTTTTTGAATTCAATTATTTGTTAATTCTAAATAAATATGGATATGATAAACTACAAAACTCATCTTTCATAAACTTGATATTATACTCAGTCCAAAAAGGTATGAATTTGATCATTCAGTAAGTCTAAATAGACATGATTCTAGTAAATTGTCATACTCATCACTTTTGGAATCAAACATGAAAAAATAAAGATATGAAGATCATTATAGATTTTGTTTGTTTATTCTTTTGATTTTTAATTGTTAATATTAAACATGTTTATCCCCTTATATTTTTATATATATAATTTTTTTCTAAATAGCCTACCATATTTACATTTAATTAATATTGTGTAAGAAAAAAATGTTTTTTGTTAATATTGTATAACAAATATTTATCTTTTATTAATGTTATTAGAAGAAAATAACACTCTAGTTCATATACTTTAGCAAAACAAAAAAGTTCAAGGGTTATAAATATTTCATAAATCATTTAAATAATTCATAATTTCTATTTTTTAAACATCAATATTTTTAAATCCCCGTGTATTTATTATATTAAAATTAAAAAAAACTCCTATTCAATTTTTTTCTTAAAAGTTCTTGGCTCTATAATTTAAATATTCCTAAACTCCACAACCAAAAAACTGTTTTGCAGATAATAGATGTTTTATTATCAATTATCCACTTTTTAACCTCTAAAAAAACATACTGAAATGAATATATAATTATTTATTATCCAAACACAAAAAAAAATTCTCGTTACTAAAAGAGGGGAGAATATGGTGGTCTATGAAGATGAGCTGTGCTTTTTATTTATGGTGATAGTAATGCGATAATGACATGGTCGAGGGATAGGTTCATCTAGGCATGACTTGTTCTTTTTACCCCCTTAGGTCGAGGGAGGGAGGGATGGAGGAGAGAAAAATGTACGTATGAACATCCATTACATTAATAGTATATGAAATAATGAGAATATCAGTTAATATAAATTAAAAAAACATATATTTAAACGTAAAAAACAAATAACTACAAACACCAATTATGAAAGGGTGTTTGACATTAATATTAAACTTGTTTTTTTTAATTAAATTTTTATTTTTTTTGTTTTTAAAAAATATTTTTTAGTATTTTTAAATTGTTTTGGTTTGATATAATAATGAAAAAAATAATTTTTTTTTAAAAAATAATATTATTTAAATATATTTTTAAATAAAAAATATTTTAAAAAATAATTTCAAATATAATTCCAAACATCAATCATAAAATATGTTTATAGTTTTATTTGATATTATTAAATCTGGTTTATTTTTAAGTTGGCTTGAAACATAACTTAAAGAGGGTTTTAAAACTGAGTGATTTAGCAAATTAATTTATTTTTTGATTAATTTAGTTAAAATATAATTTTAATTTTAATTTTTTTAAATAATATTTTAATTTTTTTATAAAATTTTAAAATAATTATATTTTAAATTAGCTCGAATTAAAAATTCATTACCCCTATCTTTATAGATCAAATAAGATTTGACAACTCTTCCAGTCTCATCATCAATCATGTTGTATATTGCATGGACTGTGTTGTTTATTATGTGTTCACTAAAATATTTAGGTTGGTTGCGAGTGTTTTTTAATTTATTTTTTAAAATATTTTTTATATTAAAATATATTAAAATAATTTTTTTATTTTTAAAAATTATTTTTAAGATTTGCTTGTTAAAATAATCTAAAATATAAAAAAATTATTTTTAAATAAAAAAATTAAATTTTCTAGAAATATAATTTATACTGCACTCATAGACATTCTTTTAATTGAGTTTTATTTTTTTAATATACTTTTTTTGACTTTTGTTTTTTTGTGTATATGTCTTGCTGTGAGCTTTGTTTTGTTTGTATCTATGTAATATTAAAATAATATTTTTTATTTTTTTAATATTAATACATTAAAAAAAATTTAAAAATTATTTTGCTATAAAAACTCAGCGTTGCCGCGAAGAAAAGACACGGATGTTAACAGGAATAAAAGTTCAGCTAAAAGCGAGGTATAATTTGAACAGAAGTTACCCACGTGCGATTACGGAGGTGTTGCTCTTTTGGTGAAAACTGAAAAAAAAAAGAAAAGAAAAAAGAAAAAGGGGGTTGTGTAGATAGCCAAAAAAACAGTGTGGCGCTAACAACTGCCCTTTACTTGCGCCCCTGACTCAAGTATACAAATGAAAAATGCCTTCTTCTTTCTCAGCTCCAATCATCAGAAGCTGAGCTGAGCTGCGCTTCAACAACCCTCCCTCTGTCTTTATTTATTATCGATCTCCCTGTTATTATCGTACTTCTTCTTCTTCAATCATTATATATATTTACATTACAGCTCTCAAAACAAGAAGAAAAAAGAAAATGTCAAAATCAGACTCTTTCCGGAAACAGCTCGCAGCCGCTTGGACGTGCTCACCGCTCATTTAGTTGGAGCAACGACACTAGAGTCGTCGTCTTCGATTAACCGGTCTTGCGTGTCCGCGCAGGTCTCTCATCCTGGAAACCTCCGGGGCTCTTTGACGGTGATCGATGAGAGGACTGGTAAGAAATACCAAATTCCTGTCTCTCAAGACGGCACCGTCAAAGCCTCTGATTTCAAGAAGGTATATTTTATTTATTTCTTTACTGTTGCTTTTTTTTATGATGATTTCATTTTCAATTC